GAATTCACAAACAAAATGCCATTCTGCAGATTTACCTCCAGAAGGTCGCCGCGGCCTTTGGACGCCACCCGGAACAGGCGGGGCACCAGGTCGGCCAGCTCCAGCCCCAGGTCCTGGGCGATGCGGCCCACGAAGGTGCCGTGTTTGGCCTCCTCGGGGACCGAGTAGCGGACCTGGCCGCTCCCCGCCTCCCAGGCTGGGAGGAGCAGAAGGGAGAGCAGCAGGAGCCCCACCTCGCGTTCCCTTCTCATAGAAGACACCATTCCCAATCCTCGGTGAACTGATCAGCTTAGAAAACCATGCATTCCAAATTTTAGATATTGTTCTCTGCTTAAGTCCAGCCGCTTCTCTGTACCGTTCAGCTTCTTGAATGACAATGGGGATCTGGGTATTTTTCTTCCTGGAGAACACGCTGTGGTGGACAGCGACATCATGTGGCCAAAATGTAGGCTGGACTCGTTATTTTTAGATTGAAAACTAGCCAAGACCTAAGTTTACCAACAGTTTTTATGTCGGAAAAATGCCGATTTTAAACCCCGAAACATAATTTTTCTTTTAATGCATTAAAATTTTTACCACCTCAACCATTTACAGGTACAGCTTAGTAGTGTTAAGTGTATTCACGGTGTTGTGAAGCTGATCTCCAGACTTCATCTTGCATATGTGAAACCCTGCACCCCTTAGACAACCATCTTTTCTACCACCATACCACACACTCCGACCACCATTCTACTTTCTGTTTATGAATTTGAGCAATTTGGCTAACTCATGTCACCTTGCTTTATCCATGTTTTAACATGTGACTGGATTTCCTTCCTTTTGGAGACTGATTAATATCATAAGGTATTTTATGTCACATTTGTTTAACCATTTTCCATCTGTTTATGGACAGTAGGTTGCTCTCACATTTGGCTATTGTGAATAGTGCTGCTATGAACATGGTGTAAAAATACTTCTTGGAGGCCCTGCTTTTAATTCTTTTGGAACATATATTACCACTTTTTAAATTATTTCAAGTGAAGCAAAAGGTCATTTTAGTCAACTGAAAATATATTCATGTATTCCATTTTTCTACATTTATTTTTTTCTTGAACTATTTGCATTTTCCCCATTTTCTGGTATAACAATTAGTAAAGAAAGGCATCACTTGAGCCACTTTTAGGCTTGTAATCTGTCAGTAATGTAAACAGGTGAGAGTGAGAAATCAGTGTTTTCTTTAGTAGACAAAATCTACATTTCTGTTCTCCTTCTGGAATCACTGAAGGGTTTCCCCTCCATGTTACTTTGAGGTGGCATGCTGTGTAATTTTCTTGAACCAATGATACTCTTCCAAGCAGAAGCATGCAACTGCCAGTGCAAGCCTCTCTTCTGCTACCTTTTCCTGTTGCAGCAATTTTGGAACCAAAAGTTAACCCTGAGATGTCATAAGATCAAAGTGGTCTGGGCCCTCCTTGGTGCCACAGGGGCTAAAGTCTCAGCACTATCAAGCTATCCACAGCCACTGCAGCATGAGTTCAATCTCCAGCCAGAGAGCTGACCCGCATGCCACAGCGACCTCTCCTGTCTGACCGGCTACTCCTCTCAGCAGTCTATTTCAGGGATCCACCTGTTCTTCTTTCCAATCTGTCTCTGGTGAACCCTGCCATCCCCTGCACACCCCAGTTTTTGTATTCATAAATAAACAATAAATCTTTTAACAAAAGATCAAAGTCGTCTGGGATACTGACCAACACATGGAAAAAAAAAACTGCCCTACGCATTCTCCCACACCACACAGGACTTTGCAGGAACCAGAAATGAAATTGTGTGTATGTTATAGGGGAAACTGAAATAGTCAATGTGCCAGAACAGAGTCATTTGGGGTCACATGGCTATTAAGCTAATGTGAACCGAATATATTCTAGAAGGAGTCTTGTTGCATATTACAACTGGTAATATACAACCAACAGAACATTGCTATTGACATTTTTATTAAATCATCTGACCATAACGCAGATTAGATCACTTGGATTCTTGGATTGTTACTTCTTTTTCTTCTATATAAAGGGCAGGTGGCAAAAAAATATGCTAAAGTAAAAATGCTTTCAACATCTTTTTATTTTTTGGGGGGGGCCTAGTATTCAATCTACATTGGGTGGCTTTTTTTATTTGTTAGTTCTTTTTTTACTGTTTGGGCCTTTGTTGTACTATTGCAAAAGACCAGAATGAAGATTTTTGCAAGAATGAATGCTCACATGTAAACTTTAGGGAACTGGCTGATTGGTTTTACAAGTGCAATGAGTTTAATTTTAGCAATGGATACATTTGTTTTGCACAGTTGCTCCAACAAATTACCACATACTTAGGGACTTAAAATAAAAGGGACCTGAAACCCTCTAGTATTCCCAGAAGGAGAACAGAAATAGTGGTTGTGGTTACCACATATTTCATTCTCTCTCTCTCTCTCTCTCTCTCTCTCTCTCTCTCTCTCTCTCTCACACACACACACACACACACACACACACACACATATGTATTCTTGACTGACCATAATTTTCAAATGTGCCTCAAATGATACATTACTATCTATTTATTGTTATACCAGGAAATAGAATTATAATTCTAATCCTGATAGTAAGTTTTCTGAAAAAGAAAGAACAATTCAAGAAACAGTCTTCTCATGTGTTTTCCCATTAATTTTAGGAAATGTAAGAATAAAATTTCTCTACAGATGAAGATACGATGACATCTTCGTATCAAGATAACTTGAAAATAAAATTATAATCCCTAAAATCATAGCCACAAACTGAAATAGAATAATTAAAATATAAAATGTGTGTTTTACCAAGATCTTACTGGAAGCAATACTTTTTGTTTCTACTGGGCATTTGAAAATTGGATTCTCCATAGAAAAATGAGAATAACATCATTATTTTTAGTATGCAAAGTGCAATGATTTTGACTAGTTTTTTCATATAGACAAGGTATTAACCTATTAATTTTCATTAATAATTAACATTAACCAAAAAATGAATCCATTTACATAACAATTATAATCTGGCAATAAGATCACAGTTATTTGACTATTCTTAGATCCTTAATGCATCAATCTAAATTTTGTTTCTGACAGTAACCCAATGTCATTATGTGAAGACAAGCCTAAATATCTTTAAGACAAGTTTTTTTTTTCACTTTTACTTCCACTTATTTTATCTTGAAATTATTCCAAGCCATAAGTTTTGTTTCTTCAGTTTCTTCTGGAATACCTTTGTCATCTGTGCAACCTCCTCTTCTGGTTTAATAACAATCTACTCTTTTTCAATAAGGATCATCTGCATGTGGCAGGTGAAGCTCACCTATAGGTTAATCCAACCATGAGCTCTGTAGCTTCTGCAAAGCATCTTGGGAGCTTTGTTGACCTGGATGTGCTTGGTGACTAGAGAACCTATGTTTAAGCCCCTAAGTTCAACATTACACTCTGCATTTTTAAGCACAGGTAGTAAAAACTCAGCATTCTTTTTGGGCTACCAACCCTGCATCCAGTTCCACTGGGCACATCTACCAACTCCACCACTGTACCAACAGAAGGGTATACACTGTTTCTATAGAGTGATGTCCTTCAAATACTTGGTGGCCTTGCAGAGAGGCATACTCTTCATGGCCTGATAGTTTCAAGAGTGTTCTTAAAATGAACTCAAAGAGTTGAACCTCTTGATTTGCACAACTTTGTAGGGTTTTCCGGGTCAAATAAGTAGTAAACCATTTTCAGAAATCACCTAAGGCAGCTTACAGGAGGAGTTTAGGCCTAATTTAAAAGGTAGACTTAAAATGAATTCAAAGATAAAAATGTGTCTTAGCAAGTCATTTGGTAGACTTCAAATAATAATACTAATTCCATTAGTAATTGTATTGTTAATCTCTCAGTGAAGCAATATTACATAGTTTTCAAACCTATATAAATGCTTGTAGAAGCAAGTTGTGTCATACTAGCTTCCAATAACAGCCTTTAGAGTTTTTCTGGCTTGAGTGAAGAAACTATATGTTCACTTTTTATATACTATTTATGTTTTTTTTTCTATTTTATTCTAAAAACATGGTTTCCTCTATTTCTTCCAACTGTTTGACCATTTTAAAATTTCCCTTTCAGGGCATTTTGTATATTCTTGATTCTATTTTCCTTCAGCTGAGGCAATGAGAGTTACACCTATGAACACTCTTTGCATAAAAAGAGAAAGCCCTCACCTATTCTGTTGTTGATAATAACAGCCAGCATCTAATTGCCTATTTTTAAAAAGTCACAAATAGAATGAGATCCTTTTTATAAACACATTGGTGTACATAGACAAGAAAGCTGGAAATGACTATTAGACCAAAACCAAGTCTTTGCATAACCTACTTGTTATTTTAAGTGAGTTTAAATGTAGTTGCCTAGAAGACAGATAACTTCCCTGTATCTTGTTTCACTGCTTCTACCTCCCTCGGTACTACAGCAGAGCTGAGTATATACAGGTCTTCCTGGACTTTATGATGGGGGTCACATCATGATAAACACATCCTAAGTTGAAAATACTGCAATTAAAAAGTGCATTTAATACATACAACTATTCTACTGAAAAGCCTAACTTAGTCTAGCACACCTTAATCATGCTGACAAGTTACATTTGCCAATAGTTAGTCCAAATCATTTAACACAAAGCCTATTTTATAAGTGTTCAATATCTCATGTGGTTTATTGAATACTGTAGTGAAATTAAAAGACTATATTCTTATAGTTGTTTACCCTCCTGATTTCATGACCTGAATCAGGAGAGAGTATTAAATGGGTAGCAGGTATGGCTAGCTCAGTAAGAAAAATTAAAACTCACAACTCAAAGTATGGCTTCTACTGAATTTGTAAATTTTGCACCATTATAAAATTAAAGAGCCATAAATCAAGCCACCCCAATTCAGGGACTATCTGTACTAGACTCTCAACATGGAAAGAATACATAAGTAAATACTAAGTATCTCTAGACTAAACCCTAAATCTGGAATTCAATATCATTAACAAAGGTAAGCTGGAGGGACACAAAAATGTGAATGGGGAAAAAGAAATTACTTTGTTTCTTTAATGTATCTTTCTCAATTTTATGATCCAGCAAAGTTTATCTAATTTTTGAAGGAAGTGGGAAATTTTTTGACAACCTGATTCTAAATTATTTTTGCTGACTCTTGCCAAAAGACTAGTGTAATAATTAACACTTGAAAAGTTACAGAAATAAATGTGAACCCTATGTTTCATGTAGCTCTAAGCAAAAGTTCTGTATCAGGTTAAATCTCTGAAAACATAGCTACCAAATTATATTAATTTCTTCTTCTTTTTTTTTTTTTTTTGCATGGAAGATCTACTAGGATATGGGGGTCAGGGGAACTGTGGGGCTGGTGAGAGGATTCACCAGAGACAGAGAGGGGAGCAGAATAGCCAGATTTACTGAAATCACTGCTGAGGGGAGCAGCAGTTGAGACAGGAAAGGTCTGCTGCACCATATGTGAGTCACCTCCCTGACCAAGGATCAAACTCAGGCCAGATGGTGACAGTATTGAGACTTAACCCCTAGGCCACCAGGGAGGCCCATATTAATTTCTTACAGAGTGTTTTCAAACAGACTTTCATGGGAAATTTTCTGTATGCGTATTTGAATATTTGTCAACAAAAATAGGTTCATTTAATACCACATAACTTTCAAATTAAACATAGGAAATAAAATTTGATACTCTATTCTTCACTAAATGACTAGCAAACACATTAATATCTATATTAAATAAGTTTGAGCTGTTTTGCAAAAAAGCTATAAAGCATACTGTTGAATACATTGCTGAACCCTTACATGAGGGTCACTGCACAACCTTTCTTTGAACTTATATAAGAAGGGAGGGGTTTTGCTCCTAAACAATGGGTATAGAGAATTTTCTTTTATTGTTATTTTTCATATTTCTGTATAGAGAGCTAAGGATTAGGATTAGCACTCTGCCTAGGTCTGACTTTCTGACAAATTGCTCCTGCTTACCGAAAGGTAAGATTTTTTAAAAAAGGTAAAATTAAATAAAAAAGAAAGATAAGTTCTGGCTTTTAAACAGATTTTTAAAAACTTGGCCTTATACACTTATTTATGTAAATGATCTTTAAATTTTAATGAAAAGCAGTAAAATACAGTAGCAAGTTTAGGATATCTTTGGGTGATTTGAAGAAAACCACATAAACACTGACCTTAATTTATGTGCGTCTCCTCCATGAAATGGAACCAAAATATGGACTTGACTAAGTTATTTATTGGAAAGATTGGGGAAGTAAAAATAAAGCTTTTAGACTATTTGCAAATGGAGTAAATGGAAGCTGCTCATCTAAATAACAAACTCACGTCACAATACACCTGCTAGCAGAACTCAAGGCCATAATGGCAATAAATTAACAGTCATCTTTTAACAAGGAAATTAAAATTTCACCCAATGAAACTATTTCAAATTACATTGAAACAATTCTTTTTACTGCCCACTCTGAAATTCCCAAACTTAAGGGAATTTGCATACAATATTGTGCCCAGGGTTTGATGTTTCACTACAAGATCTAATAAAGCTGAAAATATCTTTGTATTTGATTGCAAGGAGACCATGGGTTAAATAAGATGTTTCAGTGTCTTTTTTTCTTTTTAAAGTATCCTCCCATCTTATCAGGGATAACCACCTTTTTGTCCCTGTATTTTCGAGTTGTGTTTTATTCAAGACACAGGAAACGACTAAGAATAAATATCTTAACTAAATGGTAATAATTGTTTAACATTCTTCAAAGAAAAATTTTGGAGACTTTTCTTAAAGTGAGTAAAAAACATTGTTAGATACAATTAAAAATATTAAAGCCACGGCTTGAAGTTAGACTTACGTTACTGGAAAGGTCCGAATTTGTTTCATTTCCTTCCGACGCGTTCAGGCCCGGAGGCAGGCTGGGGCTGAAGGCCATGAGGTCAGCCTTGGGCGGCCCTTCTCCCGAGCACACCCGCGGCCGCCTCTGCTGCGAGCACGACCAGCTCCCCACGGCGCTGGAGCACACCAGCGCGGGCTTCCCCGGCGCGCACGCGCCCTCGCGGGGCGGCGCCGAGCAGCGCAGCGCCACGTACAGCAGCAGCGTCAGCACCAGCAGGCTGGACACGGCGCAGATGGCGACGATCAGGTACACGTTGACGTCCACCAGCGCCAGGCGC